GCTACGTGGACAGCCACAACCACCTGACCAGCTCCCCCGTCAAGTTCACGTTGGCCCTGCTCTCCATCATGCCTCTCTCCTACTACATCGGGATGGCCATCGCCAGGTGAGCGGTGATGGGGGGACACACACACGCTTGGTGGCAAGGTGTGGACATCTGCCAGCCCTGCTGCCACCCTCCTCCTCCTCCTCCTCCAGCATCTCGGCCCAGAGCAACTTCGCGGTGGGAGCGGTGGTGAACGCCACGTTCGGCTCCATCACGGAGCTCACCTTCTACATCACGGCCCTCATCAAGGGCTCCCGCGAGGGCAACCGCTGCTACGCCGAGATTGTCAAGTCGGCGTTGACGGGGACGCTGGTGGGCTGCGTCCTCTTCGTCCCGGTGAGATGGGGTGGCCCACTCATGGCCCAAGAGCACCCGGTCTCTGCAGAGAGCTGGGAGGACGCTGTGGGCAAAGCACTGATGAGGACTTTTTTTTTCTGGGGGGGGTGTCTTTCTCCATCCCCCAGGGTCTGTGCATGGTGATCGGGGGCATCCGGCACCAGGAGCAACGGTTCAACAGCCGGTCGGCAGGCGTCAGCTCGGCCCTGCTCTTCCTCTCCGTGGGAGGTGAGCTGGGGAGGGGGTGTCCCCATGTTCTGGAGGGGGGGACTGTCCCACCAGTGAGGACTTTTTTTTTTGGGGGGGGGTGTCTTTCTCCATCCCCCAGGGTCTGTGCATGGTGATCGGGGGCATCCGGCACCAGGAGCAACGGTTCAACAGCCGGTCGGCAGGCGTCAGCTCGGCCCTGCTCTTCCTCTCCGTGGGAGGTGAGCTGGGGAGGGGGTGTCCCCATGTTCTGGAGGGGGGGACTGTCCCACCAGCATGGGCGCCCGTGCCACGTCCCTCCATCCCCGCAGGTGTCTTTGCCCCAACGCTCTTCTCCAAGGTGTATGGGAAGCTGGTGTGCGGCGAGTGCCACAACGTCACCCAGAACCCGCTGGGCCACTACCTCTGCCACAACTGTCACTTTGACCTGGTGAGTGGGGACCCCCCCAACCGTTGGGGTTCGGAGCTGGGGACGCTCTAAGCCCTCCCAGCTCCCGCTCTTGGCAGTGGCAGCGGGGCTGTCCCTTGTCCCCTGCATCCCCGTTGACAGGCGTCGTCTCTCTGCAGATGGGGAACAATGGCACCCTCTACTACAGTCATGTCCAGTGAGTGTCTGCTGGGGTGGGGACAGCGTTGTCCCACGTTGGGGTGGCACCTCCTGGGTTCGGTCATGGTCCCACGTCCCTCCCAGCCCCCCTGAAAGGCTCCAATCCTCCACCTTCATCTCTTCCATCCCCAGCCGGTGCAAGGGACCCCCCTGGGGTCTCTGTGCCGGACCTCAGTGGCACTGAACGTGTCACCCATGTCCCACAGACCCCTGGTGTACACAGTGTCCCTCCTGCTCCCTGCCGCCTACCTCATCGGCCTCTTCTTCACCCTGAAAACTCACTCCCACATCTACGACATCCACATCAGCGACTGTCACAGTGAGTGTCCCCAAACCACGCGATGCCCTGGCTGCAGGGCTGGCTCTTCTCACCACCCCGGGGTGGCCCACCGCGTCTCTGCTCTTCCCCCAGTGCCTGGCCACCACCACAGCGCCGTGGTCCACTGGTCTCGCTGGCGGGCCCTGGTCATCCTCTTGCTCTCCACCCTCTGCATGTCAGCCTGTGCTGACCTGGCCACGGAGCACATCAGCCCCATCCTCACCAACTCCACCATCTCGCAGGTGAGCGTGGGGATGGGGGCGGGGTGGTGAGCCAGTTTTGGGTGGCCCTGGGGACCGAGATGTGCTCTCCAGGGATGGGAGCTGGCCCTGGCTCCAGTTTGAGCCCTGAGCTTGGTTGCCCAGGGCTCGCCTGTGCTCAGGATCAGCCCATACACGTGCACTGACGTCCCCTCTTCCCTGTAGTACTTCATCGGCGTCACCGTGCTGGCGATGGTCCCTGAGCTGCCGGAGATTGTCAACGGCATCCAGTTCGCCCTGCAGAACAACCTGAGCTTGAGGTGAGATGGCTCCAAGGGTGGGTTTTTGGGGTGTCCTCCTCCAGCACGGTCCCCATAACCGTGCCTTAATGGTGATGATGGGCTGCCCAGCTTAACGGTGGTGGGTGGGTCAGATCCATGGGGGTTTGCCCTCAAGAGAACTTAAAGCCACCCAAAAAATGAGGCCAGAACCAGGCTGGGCTCCGTTATTTGGCTCCCCGAAATGGGTTTGTTCTTACCCCAAGCTGAGTGACCCCAGGGCTGCTGGAGACCTGGTGCTTGGCTGCTCTTAAGTCCTTTGTCCTCCCCAGCATCGAGATTGGGAACTGCATTGCCGTCCAGGTCTGCATGCTCCAGATCCCCATCCTGGTGCTCTTCACCATCTTCTACGTGAGTAGCCCCAGGACAGCCCCTGGGTGACCTCCTGCAGCGGGGTGGGGGACACTCAGCGCTCCATGAGACCTGGCAACTGTCCCCGTTAGCTCCTCTCCTCTGCTCAGTGCAGGGGAAAGTGGGGTCAGATGTCTCCTACCTTGGCTGATGCTGTCCCCAGCCCTAGGGACATGTGGCGGAGGGGGTGGGGGGTTCAAGGGGTGACGTGCAAGTGGGTGGGGGGTAGTCCTGGTTGGCCATAAACCCAGTCCTCTCTGCCTCACAGCCAACCAACTTCACGCTTGTCTTCAGTGACCTCCACGTCTACGCCAGCATGTTCAGCGTGGTGCTCATGAACTACATCTTCATGGACGGCAAATGCGACTACTTCCAAGGTGACCCCTTGCCCATGAGGCTGCTGGGGGACTTGGTGTCCCACCTTCCCTGTGCCGATGGGGTGGGGGTCCTGGAGACAGCCCTGGGGTCCCCCTGCTTGCTCCAGCTCTCGCCATGTGGTGGCTTGAACAATTCGGGGGGTGGGGGGCGGGCTTGGTTGACCATCTTGGAGGTGCTGGAGCTGCCACCCCACAGCAGCTCCAAGGGGCAATTGCTCCTTTTTCACCCTTTTGGTGGAGACTTTTGCAGAGGACCACGAAAGTCCTCTACAGTGGGCTAGTCTAGACAACACCAGAAGGTCTTAAAAGCAACCTCCCTCCTTGCTCCAGGGAGTAACCCCCTCCAACCTCCTCTTTCTGCCCTAGGCACGGTGTTGGTGATGGTCTACTTCATCCTCCTGGCTGTGTATTTCTTCGCCCCATCGCCCAGTGGTTGCTGAAGGCTTGGACTCTGCTTTCTCCAACCCTCTCCTTGGGTTTGGCGCCCGTCAAGGCGTTATCCAGTGTCTCAGGGACTCGGCTGGGCTGGCTCCAGTCTGGAAGCGTTGTTGGCTGAAGCTCCTGCTGCTGCCTGGCTCCCCCAGTGGAGTGCCAGTGGGGCTTCAGCGATGGGAAGGGTGGTGGCAACAGAAGCACTCCTGACCCAAGAAGGTGTCTCGATGCCAGAGCACTTCACAGAGGTATTTCCAGCCCACGCTTGCGTGGCTGGAAGGAAAGTTGTCCTTCGTGGAGGGGCCTTGAAGGGGATTTCTGTGTGGTCTCAAGGACAGACCCCTCCCCTGGGACATGCTGCACGGGGAGAAGGTGCCTGAGAAGAGCCTCTCGCCCTTCCAGGCAGGGAGTGATCCCGGGCCTGGAAGGGACTCGGGTCTGGGGATCACGCAGGGCTTCTTGATGGTACTAAAAACACACCAAAAGGTGTTTCTCAGCTGTTTTTGTCATTAAAGCAGTTTTGTACAAATCAGAAACAAGCTGGTTTCTCCTCAAACAAGCCTTCAGCTACCTCTCCGTGTCCCTCTGTGCCTGCCACCCAGGTTAGTGATGGGCTTGGGGTGATGGCTCCTTGGTGCCCACCAAGGCTGGCGGGTGCTGGGCACCAGCAGTGGCTCAGCTGGCGCTCGCTGTCCTCTGTCACAGCACCAGAGCAAGTGGCAGGGGAGATCCACCCCGGTGGCGCCGGGACGGAGCCAGCAGTGGGGCGGGCTGTGGGTTCCAGCTTTCCCTAAACTCCAGCTCCTGTTTCCAGCCTGGTCTTGCCCGGGTGTCCTGGCTCACCCTTGCTCAGAGGTCTTGAGCAGGCTCCCAAGAAGGGTCAGGGCTGCTCCTGGTGCCGTTTGCAGGGTACGAGGTGGGACTGGCTCATCTCCCTCCCTGACGTTTCCCTTCGCAGAAGGTGAGGTGAGAGGACAAAGTGGGTGGCTTGGACTGATTTATTATCAGAGCTTTACAAAAACAAACAAACAAAACAAAACCCAGAAGCAAACCACTGAGAGATGGATAAATACAGGCAGCGTGGCTCCTCTGCCCCTTCTCCCTCTCCAGCCCCACAGGGACATAAAACCCAGGGAGGGAAGCGCCGCTTGCTGCCTGTGGTGTGAGCGTTGGGCTTGGAAAGGTCCCACAGTTGCTGGAGAAACAGGACTAGACTTCAAACAGCCCTGAGGAAGGCGGGCAGGGGCCTGGGACCCCCCTCTCCTTCCCAAAGGAAGCAATTCATAATCCTGCCTTTTTTTTTGGTTTGTTTTTCTAGTATAGCATCAGTATGGACACTCCTGCTGTTGTTGATACAGCTGTTTGGGAAGATTCCTGGGCGAGTTGGTGGATGGCAGCTGTGGGGCAGCAAGAGCTGGAAAAAGGGTGGGATGGGAGGGTGGGAGACGATGGTGCTGAGCAGGTTCGCTTACATCCCACCTGAGGCTAAATGGAAAACCTCCAGCCTGGGGGGAGGGATGGTTGGGACCTCTCCTGGAGTCACATCCAGCCTTTGTGTTTGGGAAAGTGGGGTAAGGCCAGCCCTGTGGGTCTCTTCCCCAAGGCCCTGCTCTGCAGCAGGACAAGCCCAGCAGTAGCCACTGGTGGCTCCAAGGAAGCCCCAAAGAGGTCCCACGTTGCCCAGGGCTGCTCTGCTGGGAGCAGGGGTTAAGTCGTGGGGTGAAGGCAAGCAGGGCTGTCCCACAAAACCCCATTTGGAGATGGCTGTCTCTGTCTGGGGGTGTCCTGTCCCCATCCTGGGCAGCAGCGTGGAGGTTCTTAACTCCTCTCCATCAGTTGCTGCAGAGGCCAAGTCCCTTCCCTCTCCCTTAGGGAACTGGCCCTGCCTGGGCACAGAAGTTCTGCTCTGCTTTTGAGCAGGGTATTGCACAGATGGGGGAATTAATGTGCCCTTAAAAAGAGAGAACCAGTCCTGGGGCTGGAGGGGGAGGCAAGCAGGAGATGGAGCAAGAAAAACCTGGAGCCCTTCAGCCTTCAAACCGCGTCCCAGAGCGAAGCCTCTGCCGCCACGAGCCAGGGAGAAGCTTTTACCCTTCAAATCCTCGATGGGCAGTAGACAGGCAGCAACTCCAGCAAACCTTCAAAAGGGAGCAGGGAGCTTTGCAGGGCTTAAAATAAGTAATTTTTTCAAAGAGCAGCCACCTCAGGTTACTGGGAGGGGAGAGGCTCCCAGCAGTGGACGACGCTTGTAGCTGCTTTTATCCCCTGGTCCTCTCTTTCGTAGCACTCTTGGCTGTTGCACCCCAAGTCCTGGGGGCTGGGGACACAGCCCAGCTAGGCTGGAGGGGTGAAACCAGCTCAAGGCTGTGGGTGGAGGGCATGAGTGGGCTCTGG